TTCATCATAATATAGAGACAACCAATCTCAATGTCTTTGCAAATATGAGCAGAATCTTCATAGGGTACATTTCCTTCCATAAGTTGTCCCTAACGGAGGTAAAATGTTACAAATGAGCTTAAAAGAACTGTTCTGTCATAAGAGTAAAACCAATAGGTGTTCAATGATTATAATTTTACCTCTTTATCTAACCAAAGCATATGCATGGAGGTAATAGATCTAGTTCCATCCCACTCATATTCTGACCAAATGTTTAACAATCTAGCCATGAGGAAACGATTGCTTTTTCCAAGCTGTAGCTCACGAAAGGTTGTGGATTCAGCCATTACATCTAACACCAAAAGGGAAACTGAGTCATTCTACCTTAAAGCATTCGAACAAACATCTATTCAGCTAATTGTAAAATACCATGTGGGTCTTGCGGCAACATTTTCCCTTCTCTTGTCGCCGAAAATAACAGCTCGGTTGTGATAGAGTTTTGGAGTACCAATAGCTTCTTACTCCAACTGTGAAAGACGACAAAATGAGGAAAACAAAGGAAAAGAAATAGAAAGAATACAATGAATATATAATACTTGCCGTAAATTATGTATGGGGTCGACTGCAGGAGATGGGGGACCAGAACGGCGGCAGCTGCGGGGTAAGATTCTAGGGTTTCTCCTTTCGTGAAAACCAGCTGACCAAGAAGACAAACAGAGGCAGCTCAGCTGGGTTTTGTACGACCTCTTTTAGCTGGTGGAGATATTCAGATATTGGCCCATTTTGTTTCTTATATCTGAATGGCGACCATAATTTGATTGGGCTTTGGTTTTGGCCCATTTTATTATACTAATTAACAGGCTTATAAATTTTGGGATTATTTTTGTGAATAGTAATTGAACATTACGGGCTCTAAAGCTTTTTTGCGGTAACAACTCATCAAAACTTGATTGAAATTAGTTTGAGGACATATATAATTATTTGTTTTGGTGTAAATTATTCACCGCAATCAGCTTTATTACTATATAAGAGTAGATTACCAAAGCAATAAATTGAATACTTTATTTAAATCACTCCAAAAATAAATACTTTTGATTTAATAATTCACACATTCAAAACAATAGGTTTGGGCATAGTGAAATACTTAGTGATGGGATTTCTCAGATATAGGAATTTAATTTCAATTGCAAACAAAGAAAGATCTATAATATGAAAGACTATTAAGCAATTTTGCAACAGCTTATCCAGACTTATTACATTTCTACATTGTATTTTTTAAATCACACCAATTTTTACTTTTAAAACTGATTTTGAAAAACAAAATTGCCAATGTTAGGTGTTATCCTTTTAACTTACTGATGATACGATTAAATTAAGTGATTTTGAAAAAAAAAATAGTTGTTAATTTTAAGTTTTCAACTTCTAATCTATTGATGATACAATCAATTTGTAATCATTAGACCTAAAATTGACAATTTTGAAACATCTTATCCAGACTTATTACATTTCTATGTTGCATTTTTAAACCACACCAATTTTGAGTTTTAAAAGTGATGTTGAAAAACAAAATTGTCAATTTTAGGTTTCCAACTTTTAACTTACTAATAAAAAATTAAATTAAGTGATTTTGAAAATAAAATTGTCAATTTTAAGTTTCAAACTTCTGACCTATTGATGATACGATTAACTTATAATCGTTAGACTACCAAGCAATTTTGCTTCTTCTTATCCAAACTTATTACATATCTATGTTGCATTTTTTAAATCATACCAATTTTTACTTGTAAAAGTGATTTTCAAAAACAAAATTGTCAATTTTAGGTTTCCAACTTTCAACTTATTGGTGATATGATTAACTTGTAACCGTTAGATTGCCAACCACTTTTGCAACAACTTATCAAGAATAAATACGTTTCTATGTTGAACTTTTTTTGATTTACAACTTACGTACTATAGAAATTCACCTCGGGTCTTAATGGGCATGCAACCACGACCATCTCTGGCATCAGTATGGAATTTGGAACCATTCCAAATGGGCCATAGAGATCCATGAATCCAACCATAAAGCATAGCATTCTATATATTGCAATTCAATGGAAGGCCCAATACAAAGTGTGTTTCCTTTATCAAATGAATTAAAGGCCCAATATTTTCCCTTTACTTTTATAAACGGACTAAATTTATTAAACCACAAAATAATAACCCATCAACAGTCATCAAAGACGAAAACGGTTCACCTTCCTTCTTCCCTTCCATACCTCTCTTCATTCTCCGCCGAAGACAGCAAACAACCACCAAATTCATTGCATGCACGTTGTTTCGTGTTCTCCTGTCTGCGTGCCCCATTGTATTCTCAGTTCCAGTCGACGGTGCCCAAAATCCTACCTCGCAACATCTTTTCTTTCAGTCTCTCAACAACAGCAAAGTTTTTTCTTCCCTCTGATAACTCCAGTCGCCGATTCCCAAAACGAATCCAGATTATGTGAAGGTATTAGATCTAACCCAGACTACGAATACTACTAACATCTTGTGGAATGATCAGGTTCAGAACCGAGAAGTCAAATGCACTTCTAAGTAGTTATTGATATTTTTTAGGTCTCATTCTGTTTGATATTTACTTATTTGCAAAGACCTTCTTTTGGCTTTTTACAAATCAAATCCGATCAAGCCTCATAGGATCTTATTCTACAGGTGAGACTTCTTATGATTGTGGCATGCTCTGCTTTGGTACCTTTTTCTCCTTTTTCCTACTCCCAAAATTGCTAAACTTGACTTAAGATCCATGCAAAACCTTGCAAGCTTCACAGGTGCGTTTGTTTCCATGATTTCTCATATAATGTGGTTGGATCTATTAAAATAAGGGACATGATTAGTTATGATTTTTTCGATTGTAACATAGCATTAATCCCATAGTTGAGGACGTATATTTCTTTCTTTCTTTTCTTGGATCTGATTACGTAGTGTGTGTTGCATACAAACAAAACATTGTATATTGTTTGTTTAATACATAATGGAGTTCAGTTATGGGTATAACAGTTTCCATTGGAGATCCATCAAACAATATATATTGTTATAATTAAGAATCGATTATCCAGGTAAGAATCAAAGATGAATAAGTTAAAAGAAGTAAAATTCAGGTCCAATTGACAAAATTCATCGAGGGATTGGCAGAGTCATGTCTTACTTTGCTATTGTTTGTTTATATTCTGTTTTACAATGATTAGTTGATTAATCTAAGAACTATAACCTTTGTTGATATAATTGATCAGAGTCTATTTGGTATTGTTTAAATGAATACGAAGTAGTTATTAATTCAACATCGGAAGTGTAATATACATTTGTGGTCCCAAACAATAACTAACATTGTTTATTTTTATGATCCTAAAAAAGGCAGTTACTTCCAATAATAGAGATTTAGTGGAATGAAATAAGTTTGAAAAATATTTGAAAATAGATATAATACCTGAATGGAATCAATACAGTTGCTAATATTGCTAATAATCTAAATTATAGGTTTTTTACCATGGGAGACGATTTCGTTAGGAATCTAGACTATCAAATTGCCGCAGCAATTTGGCAGACTGTGGAAACTATAGATCTTATTCCAATGCAATCGGATGCTGCTAATCAGGTGACTAAGATAATATGTTTGTTATCTATCCTTCTCTATCTCTTATCTCAATGATTTGCATCTGATTTGGTATTATTTTCAACTCCTTATATTTTGAATTATATTAGGGCAAGTCGTACATTTTATCTGGAGTTGTAACAGACTTGAGGAGATCTTGGTGTGAGGCATCCAAGATATTTTTGATTCACTTGACCGTTGAAGATGACATTACTGATGTTGAGGTCATGTTCCCATCAGCTTACTTAAGGAGAATCATGTCTTCTGTTGTCGATCCCTCTGAGATCGAAGATGCAGATTATGTTACACTTCTCAACATGATTTGTGAGAAGGCATATAAGGTCTTGGTCACATTCGGTCGTTGGAACGACGTGGGGAATTATCTTGATCTCTTCTTGGTTAAATTGTTCCCAGCTTTAGATAACTAAGTAGTATTGGGTATTATTAATATGATCAGATTAATGTTAGTAATGGTCCACCTCTCTTTAATTTCTAATCATCTGTAAGCGTAATGGATATGTGAACGCTAATATCTTTTGTAAGTTTATTATCCTTTTGAGGTGGTACTTGATTTAAAATATGAATTTAATTTAGTTATGGTACTTTGAACAAATTAGTCGTAGTAGATGTAACTTGATTGCTACTATTAATGCATTTTAGTCCCAAATCATTATTATTTAAATTAGTTATACAACAGTACTACTATTAATGCATTTTAGTACCAAATACCTTCAATTTATTATATAAAATAGTATAGTGAGACTATCAACTGGCAAACCAATTTAACACAAATCAAATAACAGAAATATAGGGAGAGAAAGCAATAGAGAGGAGGAGGAAGAACAGAAGAAAGGAGAAGGGGAAAATCTCTGTAATGGTAAAGAGGGAATCAATCTGGCAGAGAAATATTGCTGCGGAATGCTACTGCCAAATTAATTTCAAAGCCCAACCCAGTTCTCAGTTGGAAAAGCCCAAGAAAAACTGGCCTGTGGAATTGGTTGTGTGGAAGGGATCAGATTATTCCAATTGAAACAAATTAAAGGAAGTTATAAAGTAATAAAATTGATAAACCATACCAAATGGGACATAGAAATTCAGCTCAGTTCTTGATGTGCATACAACCACAACCATCTCTGGCATTAATATGGAATTTGGAACCAATCCAAAAATTCAAAACAAATTTAGTAATAATGAAATTAAATATGTATAGGCTACATAATGCCCAATTGAAATATTCAGAAAATGCTTACAAATCTAAAATATGTTCACAATCCTAAGTCCAAGTGCAAATCAGCAACATTCAGTACTTAACAAACACCTGACAAACTCTGGAACACAAAACAAATGCAATGAAAAGATCCTAGATGCAACAATTTCTTTGTTGGCGTTGCAATCACTCCAGGGGCATCTTCCTCTTCAGTTTGTTGTCTGGAGTTGCATCAGAATCCACTGGTGTTTCAATTGATTTTTCAATAGCAGACTGTCCAGACTGATCAGAGGAGGGTTGAGAAAATGCAGGCCCACTCGCAATAGATGAAGATGATCCATCTTTGTGAATCATATAACCTTCTCCCTGATATTATAATATCCAAATGTAGCATTAGCCAGTAAAGAAATTATAATAGGATTCTTTTTTGAGAAAAAAAGATTACAATCTAGATCAATACTGAGATAGAAAACTGATCATGACACTTCATTCTTATTTAAAGAGGAAAAATACTTGCAGGGATATCTACTGACCTTTGAGGTGGGTTCTAGTATTCTCAACACAGTAAAATCAGCCTGGGAATCAGCAAAAAGGTTGATCTTGAATTTGACATGGAATTTCTTGGTCAGACCTACCAATTGAAGCAATTCATCAGGTGGCAAGTCACCATTCTGCCCATTTTTCAGGAAGAGTTCATGACCACTCAATCCAAAGTATCGCTTCCCTTCATACTCAAAGAGTACAAATACTGCTGACTTCAAATCACTTTGGACTTCAAGTTGAACACGGTATCTGCACAAAACACGAATTTCAAATAAAATTAATGGAAATAATTACAGTTCAATGAGGAAGAATAATGAATGTCAACTAAGTAGGAGATGTTTACTTGGCAGCCTTGGTTGATAGTCCCTTGTTGCATCTAACACAATAGTACTCATTTTGCCTTTGTATAGGCTTCAAAACACAGGTAGGACACCCCATATAACACCAGCCTGATTTAATTCCAACAACTTTGCATTCAACAGCAAACACCATTTCCTAATACCAAATACGTTTACTATAAGTCTCTAATGAAATGAAAATGTAAATAGTATAAGAAATATGAAAGACCATAGAAGTAACCTCCTGGTCTGGATCCTCTTGTAATTTCAAAAGTTCAGAAAATGTTAATAACAGGGAATTCAGGAGGTGGCGGTGGTTCCACAAAGACAGGCAGCTCTGGTTGCACAGTACTGATTTGATGAATAAAAAAATCAATAATTAAACAAAACTAAATAAAAACACAATGTCATAGATACAGTACGGTGATGAATACCCGGTAGCAAAAGCTTTGACAGCTGGAATATCGAGATTACGATACACAACTATTGACCCCGATGATGAAAATGATAACTCATTTACATAAACCAAAAATCAGTATGGTCTTGCCACTGATCTTGCCACTCATAACATTATTAAACGTAAGAAAGGAAAGAAATAATAATAGCACCTTTGAAGTCACCCACACTAACAGCTGAAATGACCAATATAGTCGGATCATCACCATGAGCATCAATAATCTTATCAAACTGTTGAATAACTCTTCCCCAAATAACTACTTTGACAACATCACCCCTACATAAATTTGAAATAAATATCTAAGATGTTTAAAAAACTAATCTTGCAAACAAACATGAATGACGAAATTGCAATAATGCTCCCTCAACAAATAAAAGAAAAACCAACCAGATAGTGAGCAATCAAATTCAACAAAAGTTTTCTAAATGCCTTTCATGTCAAACATATAAAAAAAACTCACTCAATCAGTTGCAATGTGAGCTCTTTCCTTATAGTTTTCCGAGTAAGGCTGGTAGTAGTAATAGCATCTGAATGTGTGCGCAGTTGACCAATAACATCTACAACAAATCATTTTAATAAAATAAAATTAGATACACATTATTTGCTAACTGAAAATACATGTAAGAATGAAGAAGTTACCTGAAAGGATCTCAACATGACCCAATTTGCCTGCCATCTGACTTGCATTTAGGAAACTGAATTTGAAGGTCGAAATTGCAGGAACTTCAGGAATATGATGAACAGTTGTCTTCCTACTAAATTGTATCAAATATGGATTCCCAATAGGTCGATATTTCAGTCCAGTTGTATTGATATCGAAGTTCTTGATAATGTAAACATGGTTCTCCTTCAGCATCTTCTTAAACTTTTCTATCAACACAGGAGGGATTTGTACCCAGATATCATTGCCCTTCAAAATGGAAAGGAAAACTAAATTTAAAAAACAACACTCATTTTGGAACAGAATCTTCATATGCCATGAAAGAAGTGATTACCTTTGAATCCATCAGAATGAGGTCGAAATGGAGAACTTTGTCTGTATGTACATTCACCCCAAGCCACATTCTGGAGACACGACATTGACCTGACCAAATCTTCTTCTCCGACTCAAGGTCACGAATGCTCTGGGAATCCATTCTAGAGACTCAGCAACAAAAAAGGAGGTTATTGAAGAGCTACGGGATTGCATCAAATCAGTAGATACAGTTTCAAAAATTGAACGTGAATTGATACCTGGGAGAAAAACAATTGAGCACAAAAAATTGTCAACTGCTGTGTCTAAGCTGATATATATATTTCCCGAAGACAGTAGCAGTTACTCCAACTTTTAAAAAGCCACGTCGGCCACGCAGAGCTACATTTTCGGAATGGAGAGAAGCTGCACACACTCGAACGATTCCCGCGGAAGATTATTGCTGAATGGAGATAACTGTAACTCTGGGCATCTATGACCTTCATTTTGTAAATATAACTCACAAAATTTGAGAGGGCCTTCTAACTTGGTCTCTTCTATTCAACTAATTCTGACTCCTGGATTTCCCAATTTCAGACCTCGTTCCAGCTGATAGCTCATCATCTTCACCTCAACGCTAAATTTGATATGTATTTGGGCGAGATTGGTAAACTGATTAATAGAAAGGTGCAAATAGGATTGGAATTTGGTTGGAGATGGAAAGACGAATGTGATTTCACCGGCGGCACCAAGCAAAGAGGAATCTACCGCAAATACAAAAATGGAGCTAGGGTTCCCTATGGCTTCACCGCCAGTTAATTGTATTCCATGTTTCTGGCCCTTGAATTTTGTGTGGGCTTTCAATTTGGGCCGGAGGTGACTAATCTTCAAATTGAGAATGGGAACAAAATAGAAGCCCATTTCTATATCAGATTGTCATCAAATAAAAGCCCTAGTTGAACAATAGTAAATATAAAATATAAATCAAAATAGATCCTAATTAGAACTAATGACACTAAATTGGAATAAGACTCCATTGTTCTCAATTCCAAATAAATTAATACCAAATAAATGCACCAAATGATCCATTTGTTCTCCATGGGAATAATAATTTGTTAATAACACATAAAGAGCACTACTACTATTTTAAACAATAGACATGGGTAGAGTTGCTTGAAAAAACAGGAAGCAAGTTTGATATTTACAGCTAAAGAGAAGCAAAGCTGTATTACAAAGGAATAAATATAGCAAATTAATCCCATGTCTGATCATGCAAACCACACTGCAACTTGTAAATTCAATCAAAAATTTCTGGGAATATTATGTTTAGCATTGAGTTCGGGTCTTCATCATTATCATTCTCAATCAAGATTTTGAGACCTTGCCTTGTTGTAATTCTGGACAATGCAACATAGAGTTGGCCATGACTGAAAACCTGCCTCTGGAGACATAAGCCAACATGATCGAGTGTTTGTCCCTGACTTTTATTAATAGTCATGCCAAAACATAGAGCAATAGGATATTGTATTCTAAGGAGAGTAAAATTAAGACTTTTGTAATATGTTGACAATGTAAGTCTAGGGAGAAACACACGATCACCTACATTGGTACCGGTCAAGACCTCCACCTCAATGAACCATTTTCCCAAAGTCTTAACAATCATTCTGGTACCATTGCAGAGCCCAATTGTTTGATCCATATTCCGCATCAAAATTACTGGACATCCCACTTTAAGTTTCAGTTCATAATTAGGAAAGTTACCAACCTTCAATGTATTCAGAAACTCAGTAGTATAATCAGCATCCACCACACCCTCCTTTCCAGGATCCACTTCAATTGAATATGAGCTAAAATATGTGACCTCATCTCCTGGAAATTTTGCTAAAATAAATGTATTGATTGCAGAAACCATATCATGGTGTGGTTCCAAAATAGCTCGTCTGACCAAATAATTATGATCCGAATAATGACTCAAAAGATCACCATAAATTGAACCAACAATATCAGTAACAGGATCTGATTGCCGAGGTACTAATAACTCATGTGGAATAGAAATAGTAGACTCACCAAAAACATCTGAATCAACCCCATCACCAATTTGCAAAAGCCAATTCTGGAAATCAGCAATTGCTAACATTTCTTCTGGACATTGATTGCCACGTGCTAGCCTCATATTTTGTATCAATTTGATTACCTTCAAATGCTGCCACAAATAAGACCTCTTAATAGATGAGTTGACAGAATCAGCTCGTGTACCTTTCAATACTATAGGCAGGGTTTGCCTGAAATCCTCTCCAAAAACAGTTGTCAAACCTCCAAATGGTTTCTCATCACTATTTTGATATCAGAAACGTAATATATCTCGTAATGATTTATCCACAGCTTCCACCACATGTTTATGAGACATGACAACTTCATCCCAAATAATCAAAGAAGCACGTTGGATTAACTCTGCCAATTCACCTCCCTGTTCAATATGACAGGTTGATCGCGCATCAATATCAACTGGAATATGAAATCGGGAATGAGCTGTTCTCTCACCATCCATCAAAAGGGCTGCAATACCAGAAGAAGCAACACATAAAACCACCTTCTGCTCTGAACGCAATTTCAAACAAATGACCTGCCACAAAAAGGTCTTTCCCGTTCCACCACAACCATTAATGAAAAATGACTTTCCTTGGTCACCATACACTGAAGCCATAATTTCATCATAGGCTACTCTTTGTTGGTCATTTAATTTGGAAATCATACTATCAAATTTATAACGAAGATCTGTGGCATTATAGTTAAGCTCTGCAGCGATCAATCTATTAGATGAAGATTGCAACATATCAAAATTGGGAACTGGTAACCCTGGAAAGTCAGAAATGGTTTTGCAATTCCTGGAGAGCAATTTATCAATTTCAAGCAAGCAACATTCTTTCAACTGAGACTCAGTCATCTCCAATGTAAGCATATTAAGTTGCTTCCGACGGGAGTACAAAATATCATCGGACAACATTGTCCAATTTCTTTCCCATAATCTACCAATATCTGAAACTTGACATAAGGTTATTATAGTGACAAATAAATCTCTAAGCTTCTGACCTGATGCCCAAAGAGACGCTTCAGCTAAACAGTCATTCCATTCATTATCTTCTGCCAATAACCCATGAGCATAACATGTCTCCTTGAAAGATTTATGTATAACTCCATTCACAGTCCTGATATCCTCAAAACTAACTGATCCAGGAACAATGTGTAGGAGCATACGCAGGTAGAATTTGTCATTTGTTGGTGAAGGATGACAATAGTATAACCGACCAATTGAGAATTTGGACTTCCTTCTGTGCCATTCTCGTTTTGTTTGATCCCAAACATAGAACTGGGGAAATTCTACAAAAGTGTACTGCCTTGCTTCTGGATATGATTGATTCATTTTCATCCAGCTCAATAACATAGAGGTCTGAGCTCGTTTAGATCGAAGTAACCCTTGAGGATTCTGATTTTGCTTTGAGACAACAACGTTTTGACCCGGAAGATGATATGACATACGTAATACAGATGGATACTGTGAGTAGACATCAAACTTGAATAACCTCCATCATGCTTCACCAGATGTTATATAACGACAGTCTAAAAATGACTTGATCTCATCGATACGTGGAGTACGATCAGAACTTGAAGCACTCGAATCACCACCTGTAGCACTTTGAGTTCCAACTAATGATGCTTTGGCTATATCTTGTGGTTTATTTATATATTTGAAGAGATATTTGATTTCCCTGCAATCAAAAGACAATAATGAAATACCACATATCAAACATGAATGTGAATTTTCCTCAATCATCAATACATAATTGCCTGCATTCCAATTTTATTAATTAGAAAATTTAAATAAAACTATGTTATATTGAAACGTATACCTACAAAAAATCATGATTAGGATTTTTTAATAATTGATAAGCAATTTATATAAAATAACCCAACATAATTATAAGAACATAAAGAACAACACGAAGCACATCCAAAAATTCAAATCATTCAGCACATACCTCGATTTATTACAGAATTCAACATTAATATGTGCATCGAAGCGCAATAACAAATAGCGGTTATACGGAACAACGAAACGGTTATCCAGAGCCACAGAGTGGATATTGAAAGATATCTCAGTATCACGTTGTCGATATTTCGCAAAACCATTATCATCAATTGTGGTTTGCTCACAAAACTGCTTTGGGAAATGTTTCGTACACCCCCCCCCTTGAGTGCAAGGAGCATTACGGCCCAAAGCACCACATGGACCATGAAACATAAATGCAGTTACAACTCGATAACCTTCTGGATCTATATCACGATTAGGTATCTCTGCTGATATTACAGAATCTATTTCCTTGGGACCACATAGTTTATATTCCGCAGCTAGGAAAACTAACAAATGAGCATGAGGAAGACCCCTCTTCTGAAACTCAATAGCCATAACATCTGTAAACAGAAAATACAATATATAAAGACTGACATTCATAACAAATACATGTATCCAACTATAAGATTTGTTCTTGTTATTGCAATTGGTTTTATATATGATTGAAAAGGATATGTCTGTTGCTAAAAAACGAAACCAAAAATAGTATGGCAACACGTGTATGCATATATATATATAGATGATTACTAAAGAATCAAATTAAAAAAGAGACTTTTGAAATCTCATCATCTACACAGGCAGAAACATAGGATGATTAAGAAATATAATAGTAAAAAAATTAAATAAATAAATAAACATATATAAAACAACTTACGTCCAGTTGTAGCCCCAAATATTTTATTATCTCTAATCTCAGACATCAACTGATGCAATTTAAGCTTGAATACTCTAGCAAAGATATCGGATCGATTGACATCTTTCCGACCATCCGAGTTAACCAAATCCACCATAAATTGTATTTCAGGCCAATTTGCATTACAGGTAAATGTAATAAACAAATCAGGGTATCCCAACCACCTACAAATAGCCATAGCATCCTGAAAATTCTCATACTTCTATCGTGGACTGCCTGTATGAGAAGCTGCAAGAATAACATGCTTCCCAGTCGAATCTAAATCAGAGTCACCACGTAAAAATGCATCCACCAAACCACTCACATAATGAGCATGCAATTTAGATTGGTTATTTCGAATCCAATCAAGACGTTCAGCTTCAACCAATGCATAAGCATTCACCACATACTGTTGAAATAACTTCCCAGTTAATAACATTGCATTTGATTGATCAAATCTGGTCTGAAGACGATATGCATAATAATCACACTGGGACAAAGTTTTGTTATTCCAGAGATCTTCTTCTTCATCATCCTCATCAACACAGGGTATATCAGGATGCCAACCATCCTCACCATAAGGAAAGAGAAGAGGATACTGTAATGTCATTAATGATGGATGTCCATAATTAATTCTCTCTAATTCAGAGCTCTTATATTGAACAATAATGTCTGGCTCAAATGTATCCTGACCAGTTTCATCCACTATCAAAGCTGCAACATCATTTCCCGTTGGTAAGTCATATTCTCTATCATCCTGTGCACGCTTAGCAAATAATTTGATCTTTAATTCTTCAACGGTAGCTTCAGATAATTTCTCCCGAGCCATGCGAAAGGTTTGAACCAAAACATTGTTCCTGTCAAACATTTCTTGCAAATCTCTAACAATCTCAGGTCGCAACGTATTTTAATGATCTTCACTTGGAAATAATTGGAGTCGATTCTGAAGCTCAGAGGTGGATTCATGAATATATAATTGTGCAAATCTGGGTGGTTGACCTTCAACCGGGAGCAAGCTGCCTATACTGTGATATATCTGACTACTTATAGAATAGACATATACACCACCACCATCATTTATACCACGATCCACTTTACCGCCAAGTGAAATGAAGCTAAATATGGCATTATATATACGGATTGCCTCCCTAAAGTGCCGACTCATTGGAGTTGAAGATTCCAAGAGATCTTTCAAAAATCCAGGTGGATCTCGCCTAGGAGGCAATTTCACCCTACCTCGTTTGCAACATAATGGAAACACCGGATTAGCATGACTCCTAGAATGTAATGTGCTTTCTTCGACCCACATCAGTGCATTACAGTATTGACAAAGGCAAGAAGGTTCACCAAGACTGAAAACTTCAACGGAAGGAAGACCTACACACAAAATCTCACATAAGACTATTGAAAAATAAATAAAAAATAAAAATTGAAGAGGGAAATATGTTACATAATGCAAACCAACCATGATTACGTGTGAATCCCCTAGGTATAGCATTAACCAACCGTCTTCTCAATAAATAAATAGAACGTAGTACACGTGCTCGTTTTGAACGCAAACGTAACAAACATGAAGTATAATCTGTGAGAAAAGAGGAACTACGTAATTCATCATCATCAAATCATAATCAAATAATGACAACGACAACTTTTATCAAACTGATAACTACCAATATTTAGAGGCACACAACGTTGAACTGCACGTCTCAAACGCCTATTCATAATTATACCACGCTGCTTCCGATGGAATTGAGCCAACAGTATATCCATTCGGCGAAGTTGAACATTTAACCTATCAATCCCTGCAAAGGAAAACGTTGTGTACGATAACAAATAACATACACCACAACAATATTCTTAGAAGTAGTAGAAAACACAAATAACGGATCATTACATTGATTAAGACGGGCTCTTTCAGCAACAATTTGTTGTTGTGGAGGATGTTTAGGTGGCCTGCAAATAGCCCTCCTCAACCCTGCAAATCAAATGATTGTGACTACCAATATATAACTTCCTCCCTTCCAAACAGCATACAAAGAATCAAATTCATATATGTCATCATCTCAATACTAACATTGACCCCTATTCTTCTGCTGATGTCGTTTTATTTTCAACGAAGAATGAGGAGCATCCTGCTGAAGTCGAGCATCTTGCTGAAGTCGATTTATTGCTGAAGAAGAACCAGGAGTATCTTCAATACGAACCATAGATGGACAAACCGGACGACACCAACGATGAATACTGAAAAAACAAAAACCTGATACGGTATTAACCTCAACACTGACCTCATATATTCCAAAAGGCCGGACACTAAGTTCATATATTCCAAAAACCTGGTTCTGTTCTTACCTTTGCTAAATCTAGATAACAAACCCAGGGACGACAACCACCGGACGACGGATACTATAAAACCAAAAACCTGAAAAGCTATTAGCCTCCACACTCATTCCAAAAACCAGATACAGAATTAACCTTTTCCAATTCTACGTAGGCAACGCAATTATGGGCCAAGTTGAGCAATTAGAATTTACCTTCTATATTATTAGCCCATTTAGCTTCATTAATCGGGCAGGAAGCCCAAAATTGTTAATCAACCCACCAACTAACTTGTAACCAATTCCCGCAATTAAACACCAATTAATGGCATCCCAAAACGGAGCACTTCATTAAGCGCCAGAATAATGGAATGACAATAATGCCCCACCGTGAAGCTCTCAGAAGCCTCCATTTTTGAATCCCTACAAAAGTAACCCATGAATCTGCTTCATAAATTATATAGATTGTTACTGACCTGATCCACTCCGGTTGATACAATATAGTCCCTTCACCCCTCCCCCAAACAAATCGCGTCTTTAATTGACTTTTTCACCCATGGTTTCGGCCCATAACTATCCGGGCCCAAATCCAATCCTCATTTGTCCCGACTCGACCATCATCTGATCATCATCAACGATTCACCGTTATCGGCTCATCGCCCAGCCAGCAGTAGGGATGGCAATGGGTCGGGTTGGGTCGGGTTTTGCCAAACCCAAACCCACGGGTTTATCCGTGAAAAAAACCCGGGGTAAAACCCACTGGGTTTGAAAAACTCAAACCCAAAATAACCCGCTGGGTATCCGCGGGTTCATGGGTACCCATATTTAAAACACTATTCTAGAAAATTCAAGCAAATCACAAATTAACTATACAAATTGTACAACGCAATCTAGAAAACTCAAGAAAATTGAAGTAAATCATAAATTAATAAATTATCCATAAATAACATATTAATTGAAGGCTTCTTCCTTTCAATTAAGTTTCTTCACTCTCCACTCGATAACACAAACTTCATTCTACACAATTAGAAAGAAAAAATTAGACATGTCTCCACAAACATAAATAAGATTAGTTGTTTAAAATATTAAATATACCGAGAAAATTAATTATATGTGTGGGCGGGTACCCACGGGTCGGGTTTACCTAAACCCAAACCCAACCCAACCCGGTGAATAGTGAACGGGTTTAAACCCAAACCTAACCACAAACCCATCAACACGGATTTTACCCGCGTTGACCGGGTTGGGTCGGGTGGGTACCCGTGAGTTCGGGTTTGATTGCCATCCCTAGCCAGCAGTCTTCCCGAGTGACACCACGCGAGTCACGACTCATCCCCGGCTCCGGTCGGCTCCGATTCTACCAATGGCGGCAGCGGGAAAAGTATTTTTTAACTGTTACAAATTGCCGGAACGCGACAAACCCACAGCGGGAGATCAATCATCCCTCTCTGGGAAATTATTAAGCCCCTAAAGAAACCTCAGCTTTTCTTTAATCCTTCTTCAAAAATGTCGCTTTCAGCAGCCCTCGTCATCGTCTTCATCAGACCTCCCACCATTTCCTCCCAGTCAACGGTCCATCCCTAAACGGTTTACCATAACCCCCTACTCTCAATTTCTTCTTTCTCTTCCTCCAAGTCCATCTCTCCCCCCTTCTTCGCGCGCCATCTCGAAGCTGCTTCGATCTCTTTCAGGAGTTCCTCCCATCTGGGTTTTGGGGGGGTTTATGGTAAACCCCTAGTCGATGGTGGCAAGAATAGGCCCCAAAAGTTCTGATTTGCTGATGAATACGAATCTGGGTCTGGGTTTCTTCGTCTTGCTGTCGTTTCTCAGCAGCTCCCTCGTCAATTCCCAATGTAGCCGAGGCTGCGGTTTGGCGTTGGCTTCCTACTACGTCTGGGAAGGCACTAATTTGACATATATCCTCCAGCTGATGAACTCCAACATTCTTCGGGACTCCGACTTCGACACCCTTCTGAGCTACAACAGGCAGATACCAAACAAAGACAGCGTTCAACAGGACACAAGGATTAACGTCCCTTTCCCTTGCGAATGCATCAATGGGCAGCTCCTGGGCCACGTTTTCCTTTACCCCACGGTCACCGGGGACACTTACGACCTGATCGCCGGCAGGAATTATGCGAATTTGACCACCGTTGACTGGCTCCGGAGGTTCAATTCCTACCCTCTCAACAACATCCCTGATAGGAATGCGGTGGTGAATGTCACGGTGAATTGCTCGTGCGGGGACAGCTCGATTTCGAGGAATTATGGGCTATTTGTTACTTACCCGCTTCGTCAGGGGGATAATCTGGAATCGATTGCCCGGGGAAGTAATGTCTCGGCGGAGTTACTGCAGCAGTACAATGCTGGTGTGGATTTCAGTAGCGGGAGGGGTTTGGTCTATGTTCCAGGCAGAGGTGATTTTGTCCATCTTCTTAAGGTTAATGCGCTAATATGGGTTAGCTAGTGATGAAGTTAGGCAGTCAATGCTAAATGAACCCAGGATTCGAATGATTGTTTGTTATGTAGAATCTGTGAGATTGTGTATGCTTTTCTGATCACGAATAGAGCAAAATGTGGAAGTAGCTTAGTTGGAAGTTTACTCAAACTACTTCAGCCAACGTTTGGTTGAATGGATTCAATCATAGTGGATAGGATCATGAATATTCCTTTGAGAAGTTTGAAAGGTCGTCTTCTGAATGCGATTTGTTTCTTTGTTCTGTTTTGCGGTGAATCAATTAAATGTAAGAATCTATAGTATTTAGGGTATATAGGCATTCACAGACTGGACTTCATTGAATGTACATGTAAATTGATTACCTCAGCAGAATTGGATCTCAGGTGCCAGTGTTTGAGTTTCAAAGGTTTCTTAAGTTCGAGAAGAGGAAGGTTCATGCAATAGTATGAGCTTTAGCTTCTATGTATTTCTCCATGGATTTGCCTAACCAAAGCGTTTCTTTGTCTGGCAGATGCAAGCAATAGTTACCGCCCCTTGAATTCAAGGTAACTTTTGTTTCCTTCTATCCTTGTACAGTACTCTTTTCATTTTTTTGTTCTATTGGAAGTGTACGGAAGCCTCATTAAACTGTATGGCATTAATATCTGCTGTTCTTCATTTTGCAGCTCTTCAGGTGGTTCGTACATCTCTGCTTGCTGGTTTGCAAAGCTACAATAGGCTTCATTCATCTTTGAGCTTACTTAAGGTTTCATATAAACAGGCATATCTGGGGGATTCATAGCCGGCATATCAATAGCAGCGGTAGCTGTCGTGTTATTGTTGGCTGTTTGTGTATATGTGAAGTTCTACAGGAAGAAGAAGGTGGCGGGGACAGTACAGCTGCCTGCTTTATCACTAGGCTACTCTGCTCAAGGCAAGCGTGCATTTTTTGTTTTCAAAGTCCTATGTACATTCATTCTTATTTATATGATTTATCAAAGGGGGTAAATGCTTCTAAAACTATTGACCTTTTATCTATTTCCTATCTTATGCAGGTACAGGAACTCATTCAGATAAGCCACTTGAATCACCGGGCGGGGCAGCATCTGGAGGACTTACCGGCATTACTGTGGACAAATCAGTGGAATTCTCATATGAAGAACTAGCTAAAGCGACCGATGACTTCAGTTTGGCCAATAAGATCGGTGCAGGTGGCTTTGGAGCTGTTTACTATGCAGAATTAAGGGGCGAGGTTTGTAGCTTTTCTGAATTATCTTGAGCAGTTATTATTGAACCCAGGTTTGTAGCTAGAGTTTTATAAACTCCGCTAACCTACAAGCTCTGAACCTGTCATCCTGTTTCCTTTGAATGAAAAATGGAGCCCAGTGTTGTCTAATGTCATATCTTAAATATGTATCTCTGGACTCTGATTAAGACTTCTGGCATAAAATGCTCTGTAAGTTTCAATGCAAACTATCTTCTCCCTCATTGACATTCATCTCTCACTCTATGATGTAGAGAGCTGCAATCAAGAAGATGGACATGCAAGCATCAAAGGAATTTTTTGCCGAGCTCAAGGTTTTAACACATGTTCATCACCTGAACCTGGTAAATCTCTCTCTTTCAATTACATGGATCTTAGTTTCAAATGATTCAGCTTTTCCATATATAACTTAGTGACTTGTTGAGCTTGAATATTAGTTCTGTCAGTGACGGGTGTATGCAGACCATGTTGAATACTAGTCCCGTCAGTGATTTCCAGCCATGAGTCAGCCATCGACTGTTGAACCTCTGGGAATTTTCTTGATGATAGAGAAGATTTAACTGCTCATACGCAATCATGAATCTGATGTTGTGTGGGCCTCATTATCAGTTTTTGCCCCTTCCATTTATTAGTATTTTTTAAGTATTCTATCACCAGCTTAGCGTGTGATTTTATAAACTTCAATTGTAGGTCCGTCTGATTGGATACTGTGTGGAGGGATCTCTTTTCCTGGTATATGAGTTCATAGAGAACGGAAACTTGTCTCAACATTTGCGTGGCACTGGTGAGTCAGTAGAATACAGTGTAGGAACATTGTCTTCTATAGTTCTTTTTTTTTTTGGGTGAAATTTATGGAAGTGACGATTCTGTGTTGCTTATTTTGCAGAGAGGGAGCCATTAACATGGCCTGGCAGAGTGCAAATTGCACTCGATTCGGCTAGAGGCCTTGAGTATATCCATGAACATACTGTTCCTGTCTACATTCACCGTGACATCAAGTCTGCAAATATATTGATCGACAAGAACTACAGAGCAAAGGTTTGCATTATTCACATCTGTTTTTGCTGACTGCCCCATGTCAATGACCTTTCTTGTGCTGAATATTGTGTGTTGATATGCAGGTAGCCGATTTTGGATTGACAAAACTTACTGAGGTCGGAAGTACCTCGCTCCCCACACGTCTTGTTGGTACATTCGGATACATGCCTCCAGAGTAAGTTCTGGGTAGAGACTCAAAACTAATCCTATCTTTAGGAAGCATACTATAAACATACCTAGAAGCATTCTGATTTCTGAATAACTAATGTGGTTGCGAATGCCCTTCTTCTCTTCCTTATGCAGATATGCTCAATATGGTGATGTTTCCCCAAAAGTGGATGTGTATGCATTCGGAGTTGTACTATATGAGCTTATTTCAGCCAAGGACGCCATTGTCAAGCCCAGTGGATCCATTACAGAATCTAGAGGACTTGTGGCATTGGTTAGTATTCCATCTCTCTTATTGTTAAATTTGTGTCTCCTTTCGATTCAACGAATCGCAGGTCAATTGAAGAAGTTGCGAACTAGACCAAATAGTACAAGTCGGAGTGTGTTAAAAGAAGTTATTGTGAAGTAAATTGTTGTCACAATGACTAAATAACCCCACAAAATTTGGAGTTTCGTAGGAGAGTAGGACAGACTTGGGTAGAATTGGAAAAGTTGAAAGGATGGAACAAACCACATCACCGTAGAATTGAACTTTAAAATTAGAATTAGAAGTTGCTTGCTTGTGTATTTGATTGATCATCTGAAGGCACAAACTGGTGTCAACATATTCAAATCAGTTATATATGTATCAGAACTCGAACTGGCTATTAGAGCTGAGTTTTGGTTCATCTGTATCGAAATTTTGTGGAGTTCTTACTACGTGGGATTGCCTGCTTGTTTTAATGCGTGAAACAGTTTGAGGATGTCCTAGACCACCCTGATCCAGAAGAAGATATCCGAAAGCTGGTCGATCCAAGGCTGGGAGATAACTATCCACTTGATTCAGTTCGAAAGGTAAAATGAAGCAGCAAGCACGGTCCGGGGACACCTCATGTCGTATAAATATTTACACCAATAAACTAATGTTCCACTCTTTTGGTGGATGCTTACATTACAGATGGCCCAGCTTGCCAAGGCTTGCACACAAGAGAACCCTCAACTGCGTCCGAGCATGAGATCCATCGTTGTAGCTCTAATGACACTCTCATCGTCGACAGAAGATTGGGACGTCGGCTCCTTCTACGATAACCAAGCTCTTGTGAATCTGATGTCCGGAAGATAGGAACAGGGACGAGAGAGACTATCTCTTCTCGAATCGTGTGAATAGTACGAGATATTACCAGGGGTTTCTCTCAGGGCATAGTCGTATACCTCCCATCTTTGTTGGGTTTTCTCTGTAAATGATGTCATTGTGTAGCAGCAGCAGCAGCAGCTGAAGCGAATTCACGGGCGGGGGGTAACCCAAAGTCTCTCCAGAATTTGTAGCAGCAAAAATTGTTTCTATTTTTGAATGGATCAACTAGGAAGAGAAAAGGTCGTTTCTTTGGATTGAAGCAAGGGTTTGGGAAAATGGTCCCGCCCTTCATGCGCAGTTCCTTTCTTGGACTTGGAATATGGAAGTGTTTGTCACTATCAAGAAATTGGCTGACGAAGGAAGCTGCTGGGATCCTGCTGTTTCTTGGGCGTCAAGTTTCTGTCGGGGGTTAGTTGATTGGCGTGACAATGTCAATTAAACAGTGGCATGGATAGTACATGATTTCCTTTCCTTTCCTTTCGCACCGCCACCACTCAATCAACGTCCACTGCCGGCTTGCATTCATGGATGAGTCAGACGGCTGACTTTTGATCAATGCTTTTCTTAGTTTTTTTTTTTCCCTACAAAGGAAATGAGAGTGAAATACCATTGCCTCACATTAAATAAAATTAATCTGGACATAGCCCTTTTGAGAAAAAAAATGTAGGATTTTCTGAATTATCGCCAATAGCTGAAACATAAGACTACATTATTATTAATAGGGAGTAGAATTATTTCGCCCAATCCAAACACGGGAGGCAATCAAAAATAAATACCGATTCTTACAATACTAGGCTCCATGCCGTGCCTAATGATCTGAAGTTCAATCAACATCTAGTTCTAGTTGTTTATATGGAAAGAAACCCATGTATAAAAGTCATATCCTTACTCTGGACCAATATGTGCTTTTGAATTACCAGGAGATTATTCTAGATTCCTCTAGATGAACCAGATGTCACCCCTGAGATTCTTGGTAGTTTTTTTTTTTTGTCTTTACTCAAAGCGGTCATGAACATACAGTAAAAAAGAGAAGCAATCCACCAAAAAGCATGGTTTAAAATGTAAGGTATGATGAGTTGAAACAATATGTTTATAGGTTTAATTCTCATTGACAAATATTTTAAAGAAAATTATATGGTAATCATTGTAAAATTGCAAATCTAAACCACTCTCGTCAATGAATTTGTTACATATTTATGACGACTGATATAGTTAGTCTTTGAACCTATTTAACTAGAGTCCCGATAATAAAAATAATAATAGTAATAAAATGATTTCTATATTAAAAGAAAAATAATATCTTATAAAAGTAGCCGCTGACAGCTGCCTAGAACAAGAGAGGACGCCAACTCACTCACTAATTCATCGCATAAATAGAATAGGACATAATCAACAACAAGAACAACATCCATCTCCTCCCCCGCCATTAACGTCAGACAAAGGAAGAAGAAGAAAAATAAAACCCCTATCCTTAAGAGGGTAAAAAGATCTCACCATGGAAGCCCAATTAGAAATAAATTACGCCGACGACAACAAGCCCCTGATGACAAACGATCGACCGCAGATGTCCGTGGCGGGAGCCGACCCGCCTGATTGGCCGCCGCTCGAAGAGGTGGAGGAGATTCTTGGGTACAGTTTCGCCGACAAGAGATGGCTGGAGGAGGCGCTGACGCACGCCTCGTTTCGGAGGCAGCAGGAAGAGGCTGCCGCCGCCGCCGCCGGGACCAGCGGCGGCGGGGTGTCGTACGAGAGGTTGGAATACATGGGGGACTGCGTGCTGAACCTGATCGTGTCGAGGGAGCAGTTCTTCCGGTACCCGGATTTGATGCCCGGCGACCTGACCCGCCTCCGCGCCGCCAATGTGGATACCGAGAAGCTGGCCCGCGCCGCCTTGAATCACGGGCTGCACCGGTATCTGCGCCACCGGAAGCCGCAGCTTGGGGACCAAGTAAGTAAACTCCATTCCAGAAACAAAACCAAAAAGAAATATAGAAAACAGTAACTCCCCCTGCTTCCGCATAAATTACTACTTAATTGGTGCTTTTGGACGTTGAATTTGGCTATGTATGGGACAAGATAGATTCAATGTACATATATATTTCTTGTATGGTTGTAGGAGTAGTAGTAGAACTAGAAATTATGGGGTATGTCATACACTTATAATGTGAGTTTTAGATTCAGTGTTAGATTTAGTTCACGGTGTCATTCGGTACGGACCAAATCGTTACACACTGCTATGTATATTACCTGCCCAATTATCCGAAATTTCTCACATTGATTTTTTTCTTTTGGGCACAACAACTGATTAAATGGATAAATGTATAAACAAAAGTAGTGTTTTTTAAATAAAAAATTGTGAAACCATATATGAGATTAACGGAAATGTTAGTGATAGATTATTTTTAATACCTCTAAAACTGTCTATCGATCTAGGATCCGCGATATCCTGTGTGTGTCAGCATAACAATTTCTAAAACATTGGTTTAAACTAATTGAGAGGTATCATCAACTATGTATGTTTGTAGATTCCGAGGGAACTCTCAATTCGAATATGCTCTAGATGCAGAGTTTGTTGTGTTCCTCATCATATGTGTCATTGATGTACGGACAACAGATTGAAGCATTTGTGGAGGAGATAGCAGAATATCCAGTCCACTCAAACGGCTTGGTAAACGCCCCCAAGACTCTGGCGGACATTGTCGAATCCTTGATCGGAGCAGTTTTCGTCGACAGCCATTGCTCCGTCGATACCGTCTGGAAGGTAACCAAATTAAATTTAAGCCAACTTTAATAGGACAAGAGATTGTTGACATGTCTTTGGCTTTGTTAATGATCAGGTGTTCAAGAGATTGTTGGAGCCGATAGTGGAGAAGGAGACACTGAGAGTGCATCCGGTGACGGAGCTGTACGAGATGTGCCAGAAGAGGAAGCTGCGGCTGGAATTCAAAGGCTCGTGGAAGCAAGGGATCGACGTGTACGTCAACGATCAGCTGGCCGGGAGAGGGAACTACGAGTCCAAGAAGGAAATTGCCCAAAACAGAGCAGCCAAAGACGCGCTGGATAACCTTGGTAAAATCGTACTGTTGCTGGAGGATGGGGAAGATGATCAGATTGTTGATTAATACAAGACAATTAAGGTGGTGGTGACTTTGTTTAATTTGTTGGTTTGAATTGGGCGATGACTTTTCGATTGTATGTGATGCTGCAACTTGTTTGAAATTAGTTTCCATATATAGCCGTCCATGGTTATAGGGATGGCAATGGGCGGGTTTGTCTAAACCATCTCCATCTCCATCTTCAAATCTCCAAACCTATACCGCCCCATACTCATGCGGGGAATGTTTTGCAAACCCATCCTCATACTCGTGGGTTTCGGGTACCCATGGGTAATATCCGTACCCGTACATCTAACATTATTATACCTAAAACTTACAAGAAAAGTTTTAATTATAACTCTAAACGAACCTATTATATCATGAAGTCAACAAAATACGGTCATTTTCTTAATACGGTTCAAAGTATATGATTCTAAAACATCCATTAATACATAATATAGAGTATAATATTTTTCAAATTATTATCTTCTAACTCTGATACATTTACTAAGTAATAATTAACTAACATAATTTGGTTGACAAGGGGAAAATGAAAGAGTGAAAGGAGAATTGAGGGAAATGAATTAGATTTTGATTAAAGTGGTTACTCAATTGCATTTCTACTATTTATTTACTCGAGTTATCCTCAAACCATTGATAGATTACAATTTAATCCACATATTTTTTTATATGTGAAGAAATTCTCTTGGTGGGGCGGGTATGGGTATGGGGCGGGGAAGGTCAAAACCATACCCACCCCATACCCGGTCAAAGCGGGGATTCCCCGCGTTGACTGGGTCGGTGGCGGTCGGGTACCCGCGGCCATGGGTTTGATTTCCATCCCTAGTTAAGGACTTAAACAGGCCATAAAAGACAGACCAAATACATGAGAAAGCAAATAAAAAACCTCATAAAACAAACAACAATATTCGGTGACTATACTGTTGCCGAAAACTGTTGACCAAACTCCGACGATTATCGGTGATCGAATTCCGACGTCGATAAACATATTCTGGCTACGATGACCGAATTCCGACGTTAATAATAAGCATATTCGGACCACGGTGACTGAATTCCGGCAACATTTGGTATATTTCAATGACATTGAACGTATTCCAACCACGCTGGACGACTTTTAACGAAGGTGAGCAGATTCCAGCACCTGTTGCCGGATTTCGACGACTGACAGCCGGATTTTGGCAATCGAAAATTAGGACATAAAATAAAATTTGTACATTATAATTATTTTATTTTTCTTCCATTAATTATATTTTTTATTATTTTTTTAAACATAATATTCACAATAACTACTATACTCTTTTATTGATTCTAAAAAAAAATCACAATCCTAACCTCCTATTGATTAGTATCAATAAAAAATAATCACAATCCTAATCTCCTATTGATTTGGTACTATTGTTGTCACCCTAACAACACAATGAGTGTTGTCACCATATCCTCTCCCCTAGATCACAAAAGAACGTTTAATAATCTATACAAATGAATTAACCTGCCAGAACTATACACGTGTTAACTACGTGGCATTAGTCATTAGTAGCATATGGCTTAATCGAAAAGGTGCGTAGGAGAGTAAGTCCTGGCCACAGGTTCGATCCCCAGCACCAACAACTATTATTAGGTAATTCTCCACCAATAATTCGAAATGGGACAATCAGTTGCTGCAAGCCACACAACATATATCCCCCTCGAAAGTTAGGACACCCACATCATAGTCTTTTCTTGCCACTGTGGCAGTCTTCGACCTAAAGGAGTCGCGCAAGAAAATAAAACTCAGCATATTGCAAGAGCAGGGAAAAGGAAGACAAACATGTACAGAGTGCAACAAAGAAGAACATAAATTAAGGAAGGAATGATAGAAATCAAGTGTTGGAATAAACACACTTACCTATGTATACATATATAGGATAATCAAACGATTTCACACGATTGAGCATATCCTCATTCACAAAACACTCAACACTGATCACCAACAAAATGCAAAAATATCTTATTCACACAACAATGGAGGAAATCATGAACACACACATACACACGCCAAATAATGATCATCACATAAAAATTCTCAAGCTATGGAAGGAAAAAAATAACCGTAGTACCTATGTCGCTGGTGGGAGTAAAGGCTATGACATAAGAGCATTGCACATCATCCCCAAAACGACCAAAATCCTCCACCGTCTCTAAGATTTCAAAGCCCCCACAATTGCCAAGCAATCTAAACCTGCAAATGCTGAAAGAGTTATTCAAATCATGGCACCCTCTATGCCAGAGAAAGAGACAGTACACTATCCTCACCAACCTCTCCGAGCAGACCTTCGCTAAAAGAATCTTCGAATAAAGACACTGACATGTATCGTAGAAAAGCCAAGCACAGCTTGTTGAAGACCAGTGATAACACTGCATTTGTACATGTTTTTTCCGGCATTTCGTGATCGTTTGGCTTGGCATTTGATCAGTTTTTGGCCTATTTTATGCTAGGTTGTGCTTGTTTGTGGCATTTCAGGTCTATTACGTGAATGAAAGTTCGAG